AGAAATGAGCATCAGTAATGTCCAATCAGATGACTGGATCAATGCACTCATCATGATCTTAGAACAATGTAATACTGGACAATGACCAGAGATATGTTACAAAAAGACTCTCCAACCAGCCTGGGATCTACTGAAAGCTCTTTGTCATGGTTATTGCCTCTGGGATTGCTGCCTGTGCTTTACTCCCCTCTCTAGAGCACAGGAGAAGGTGTGGTCTGCCATGACGTCCACCTGCTCCTCTGGGACATTCTTACTAACAAACACTCGCCACCAGAGTCCCTGCCCACTGAGGATCTGCAATGTCAGTCATCTCCCCACCCACCCTCGTGAGCTCAGAGAAAGTGCGAAGCAGCAGGCCCTTGCCAAGAGATGGAAAAGCTCAACAAGCAAACCTAAGACCCTTAAGGACAGTTTTGACCTATTATTTTTTATTTTTTAAAGATGTATTTATTTATTTATTCATGAGACACATACAGAAAGAGGCAGAGACACAGAAAGACAGAGAAGCAGGCTCCTCATAGAGAGCCCAGTGTCCCAGACCCGGAATCACGCCCTGAGCCTAAGGCAGATGCTCAACAGCTGAGCTACCCTGGCATATCTGTCCTTTCCTTTTAAAAGCAGTTTTAATACACAGAGAAATCTAAGATGATCCTATCAGTACTCGTGTTTTACCTTGAGTAAAAATAGACCCTTAGGCGCAGCTTTAACTTTCCCAAGCACTGTGACATCATCTGGTGTCCAGACTGTGTCACTGGCCTTTCTAGGAGGGTATTTCACACTGCTAGATATTTCAACTGTCTAAAATGCCTGTTCCACTCCCCCACTCCACTCTGGGGAGGGTACAAGAACACAAGCAAGCCCACCTCTAGTGTCCCTCACTTCCTGTCATCACAGAGCCTCAAAAAAAGACGGATAAGGGAAAAATCTCAACCGGAAGTGCTTTCAGAGAACCAAAGACAAACAATATGACAAAGTTGATTGTTATTGTCACCCAGTCCAGAACAATAAAATCTTACTCAAGAAGCCAGTTGCAGTCTTGTATACTGCTTATGATAAAACATTAACTGGGAAGATACGGCAGATTAAAAATACAAATGTATACTTTCTTGCTAATTTTTGTAGGTCTAAGATCTTGTCTTGAATCTATCATTGGACGGCTGAGTTGTCTTTCATATACCACACCCATCATGCATGACCTGTTTTCCAGTTCAGGTTTTCAGGTTTTTGTTTTTGTTTTTTTTAAGATGTATTCATTTATTTGAGAGAGAGAGAGCAAGAGTGTGCACATGCACACATGCAGGGGATGGGGGGAACACGGGGGGAGGGGGGCAAATCTCCAGCAGACACCCTGCTGAGCCAGACATGGGGCTTGATCCCACAACCCTGAGATGACCTGAGCCAAAAACAAGAATCAAACGCTTAACTGAATGAACCACCCAGGTGCCCCTCTGGTCCAGGTTTCTATAAAGAAAAACGAAAACCTGAAAACATTCATGAAGTGATCTATGTGCAGAGTCCTTTTAGACTTTTAAGACTCTTCTCCATCCTTCACAGTTTGCTTATCCATATAATTGAGCAGTAATTTCTTTTAATGATTTGAAATTATTGAGTCATTCCATTTAGAATACTCACAAAACCATTATTTTTAAACTCAAATCTCACATGCTTATATCATATTTAATTACACTACATAATTACAATAACAAGTAAGATGAACATACACAAATACAGGAATAAATACAACTGATTCTATGTAAGCACAGGACCGATTGGGTTGGGGGTGTATATGAGACCCAGTGGCTCACAGAATAACAAGAGTATTCAGTATACCGAGCTGGTTTAAATGGAGGTTGGGTAAGAGACTGTCTACTGTGTATCAGTAGGTTCAAAGTACAGTAATAAATATGTTATCATGAATGCCCTAAACCTAAAGGTTTTAATTTATCAAAATGTTGATAACAATTAGTAAAACTTTGAAGTGGGGGGAGTTTCCTGCTATGGATTCTTGTTTACTCACAGGAAAAGCAGTCCAAGGTCTGACGGAAAGGAAACACACTCTGTTCATGCAGTTGGGCCTGTTCTTCTGTTGCTCCCTCTAGACTCTAAACTCCCTATATGTAACAGTATCTCAATAAACTTGCTCTGTAAACTTGCCAACTTGCCAAATATGTTCACACATCCTAAACTGGATCAGTGTTTCAACTGTCACTGCTGGCATATAAAATCTTCTGGGGCTGAAAAAACAGAATGTTCGAAGGTTTGATTCTAATATTTTCTATCTCTTTCTCTTTACACTGTATGTATGTTTCCTGACACTGGTTAATTAAGTTTATTAACCAGGGTCTCTTTATTCTTACATTACTATTGTATTCATGCTAACAGTATTCTGTAAGCTATTCTATCTTGATTAAAGCCATTGCTTCCCATTAAAAAATAAAATTGGGTTGAATGTCCTATTGAATTTGAATTTCACCTTCCCACAATGTGTGGCAGCTAATACTTCCAGTTTCTGGCACTTCTATTGAGAACATAAAAGTTCTCCCGGAACTAACAAATTACTTCCCTTCTAACACAATTATGTAATCTGAGAGCTGAACGGCACCCTAGAGATTATTTTGTGGTCCAAAATCCCTCCCAATTAAGGGATCCCAGCAAAAAGTACTCAACTTTTTTGGGCAGGAAGGGATATTTATCTTTAAATCTCACATTATAGAGTGCTGCACCCATAGTAGGCTGTTAACACATACTTGTTTAATTGAACTGAACAAGTCTAAAATGGGTGCATTTCATTAATTTTCTTGTCCTTTCTGGGCTTTAGCTGTAACATCCACCGAATCTGTAATTAAAAATTTGCATGAGGGATCCCTGGGTGGCGCAGCGGTTTGGCGCCTGCCTTTGGCCCAGGGCGTGATCCTGGAGACCCAGGATCGAATCCCATGTCGGGCTCCCGGTGCATGGAGCCTGCTTCTCCCTCTGCCTATGTCTCTGCTTCTCTCTCTCTCTCTCTCTCTCTCTCTGTGACTATCATAAAAAATAAAAAAATAAAATTCAGATTATTTAAAAAAATTTGCATGAAAAAAATAATAAAAATAAATAAAAAAATTTGCATGAATCTTCTGCTCATTAACCAATGTTCAAAAAGAAATTCAACAGAGAAAACTCCACAATCAGCCAAATGTCTTAACATTAAGTCTGTTAATGTTAGTAAATAACAAAACTAAGAAAAAATAGAAAATCAAGTCTTAGTTTGCTTATGATCTATGAAGTTTCCAATTTATCCAAAATACTCACATGTTCTCAATTTCAGTATGATTTTTTTAAACAAATAGTCTTGCATCATTCATACAACTAAATTATACACCCTTCTACTTATAATTGGGGTGCTCACAGACTTAACCACAGTACTGTAGTAAGACATGTTATTATGCTAATTAATTTTCCCTCCAGTTAAAACAGACTGTGATCCCATCTGATTTCCTGTAATATGATATGATAATGAAAAGAACAAAGCCTCTGGAGCAGTAAACACCACCAAAAATTTTACTTTACTCAAGTATATATTCCAAAACTGCATCATTCACAGCAGGCCCTGCCCAGTACCCCATTACAATGCATCTGTTTTGGGGACTTTTACAATATATGATAGAACACAAAGTATACATTTCCAAATTCCCTTTCCTTCTGTTTTGCTGAAAGGGAACACACACACACACACACATAGTCCCTCAACAGCACAATTACTGCTTTACTAATTTTTTTCAGGCAATAATTTAAAGTCCCACTTCCTCCTAAACATCTCTGGACAGCAACTCTTGGCAATCCATCTGTCTCTTTCATCACAGCTTCTTTTCATAACTAACGGGTCAAGTTCCTTTCCCCCCATTTCAACACGACGCACTGTACTTGCAGCCCTGCCACTATAGCCCGTTGCTGAATGCCAGAATATAGCATATTGAATTTCACTGTCCTTCATTGTTTCCAGTTTAACTGCCATTTTACCACCATGCACAGGAGAGAAACGCTTTCCCACAGGCATCTTATGAATTTCCAAAGCAGCTACTCTTTGTGGATTCACAAAAACGTTTGCCTTCTCTAAATTCCCTTTATCACCACCAAAACGGCTCTGGCAAGCTGAGATTTTCTTTTCTTTCTTTCTTTCTTTCTTTTTTTTTTTTTAGGTACTCCATGCAAAAAAGAAACTGATTCTAAGCATGTCCATTTTGCTAGCAAATTCAATCCTTCCATGCAAAAAAGAAACTGATTCTAAGCATGTCCATTTTGCTAGCAAATTCAATCCTTAAGAGTTTCCGATAGGGCAATGTCGGGGGGCACAGATCTTAAACATGGCTTTTGGGCTTCCCAATTAAAATGAAGTGGTTTCAGGTCATAAAGACTCTCTTATCGAACGTCCTTTCTTCTCATCTCAGCTACACCAGAAAGGCTACCCAGCGCCTTGTAAAATAAACAACTGGCTCTGGCGTCTGTACAACGCCCTAAATCTCCCCAACCACCCCCCATGGGCTCACAGACACACGTAATCCCTCGGCAACCCCCAAGCCTGCTCCCGTAGCGGGCTATTTCTCCGGCACAAAGGGCCGGCCTGCGCCTCGTGCACGGCGGCCTCTGCACACATGTGCGGGCTGACAAGTGCGGGGCCGCCCTTCCCGGGCCGACGCTGGAGGCCTGGCCCCGAGGCCACGCGCGGGCCCGCACCCACCGCCTTCCCTCGGCGGCCCCCGGCCCCGTGACGGGCGGTCGGCTCTCACGCTCCCCCGGCCTGACCCGAGCCGCGCGGGGCCACGCTCGGGCCCGCTGCCCCTCCGCCCACCGTCCGTCCTCTTTCCTCCCTCCTCCGCTCTGGCTCAAGGAATTCCGGCGGCACTTCCTTCGGGCCGGGACCGGCAGTCCTGCCCGGGGCCCGGCACACCCCCGGCCCGCGGCCGCGCCCCCGCTCCTCGGCCGACTCCGGCGACCCCCGGCCCTCCCGGCCGGAGCCTCACCTCCTCCTCGCTCTCGCTACGGAAGCACAGGCACGCGGCCCGCTTCTTGTAGCCGTCGCCGTCATAGGTGCGGGTCTGGTTCGACTTGAGCTTCATCATCCTCCGGGCCCGGGTGGGGGTGCGCTGCGGGTCGCGGGAGTCGAGGGTGGGGAGCCCGCTCCGGACGGCGGCGCGCGCGCGTCCCCGGCTCGGCCGAGGAAGCAGGGAGGGGGAGCCGCTTCTCCGCTACACGGCTCGGCCGCTGGCCCGCCACGGCTGCCTCATGCCCCCCGGCCCAGGCCCCGCGCCGCCGCCGCCGTCACGGCTGCCGTCGCCGCTGCCGCCACGGCCGCCGCCCCCTCTGCCGCCGCCACCCCCGACGACGACCGCGCCGCCATCTTGGGCGCGCTGCGTCAGCAGCGTAAGGCCGCGCGGGCCTGCGGGACGGCCGCGCGCTCGCAGCGCAGGCGGCGTCCGGGAATCGCACCCTCCCAGTCCGCGCGGCGTAAACGAGCGTCTGGAATGAAAGGGCCGGGCCGTGCGAATGGAGGCGGCCGCCACGCCGGGAGCGGAGGGGTGGGGCGGGCGCGGCGCGCGCGGAGGAAGTCGGGGGAGGGCGGGGTGCGGGCGCGGGGTCGCCCGGGGTCGCCCGGGGCCGCCGAGAGGTGCGGGTCTAGCCGCGGGGTCGCGGAGGGGGAAGCGGGGACTCGCCCAAGGTCAGGCCGCCCGCCTTGGCCTTGCCGGTTCTCTGGGAGCGGGGAAGGGGGAGGTTTGGAGGAAAAGGCGGATGCAGTCCACCGCTGTGGAGCGTGCCGCCTGATTCACCCAGGATCAGGCACTGCGCGGCCCCGGGCGGGCGAGAGGAGGCTGGGGGGAGGGGCGCTGCGCTGCGTGCACGGGCCTCCAGGGCTCTGGGAGTCTTGAGGACCGGGGCACCAACATGTTTATCCTGCAGCCCTTGACGGGTGCAAGACGAATGCTTCCTGTTAAGGTAAGCAGGAGGGCCAGACAGGGAAGATACGTATGTCTGTGCCCTGCACACACAATGCAAATTGTAAAACATCCTTGTTTCCGGCAATAAACGAGGACTTTATAGTGTGGACGTCAGATTCTCCAGAGAAAATACATAGCAAGACACAGGAGCAAGGAAGAATGAAATATAACCTGTGAATATTCCCAGCAGCCCAGACCAAACATAATACCATGCCCATTCCTTGAACGTGGTGTAAGACCTGTGCGGGATTTGTCTGTGAGTTGCTTATTGCCCTTCTTTAATTTGCTTGTATTTAGCACATAAAAATCAGGTTTTGAAACCAAACCTTTGTTGGAATCTCAGTTACATGTTTTATTTGGTTCTATTTTTTGTCTGGCAATTAGTCACTTAATACATTCCAAATAATATCAATGGCATTTCACCTAATTCTAGCCACATAAAATGTGGAATTTCAGTTAATTTGGGTCAATCTTCATGCAATAGAATTCCCAAAATCTTGGTCATTTTGGTTGCTTTTCTAACTTTCTCTTCTGCCATTAGGTCTCTGAAAGGAAAGAAAAAAAAAGTTCTGGCTGTAGAAATCCTGTAACATGATCATTGTCAAAAATTTGAAAAATGGGATCCCTGGGTGGCGCAGCGGTTTAGCGCCTGCCTTTGGCCCAGGGCGTGATCCTGGAGACCCGGGATCGAATCCCACGTCGGGCTCCCGGTGCATGGAGCCTGCTTCTCCCTCTGCCTGTGTCTCTGCCTCTCTCTCTCTCTCTCTGTGACTATCATAAATAAATAAAAATTAAAAAAAAAACTTTAAAAAAAATTTGAAAAATGCAGAGGACATAATAAACTAAATCATGTATCTTTCAGCACATTCTGTAGAGATCTGTAGCCTGCCGCCCCCCCCCCCGTCTTTCCCCCTATGCTATCTTTTTAAAAAAAAAAAAAACCTTTCTAATTACTACCTGATAGCCCATCATAGGGATGACCATCAATTATTTTATATTTTCCTCATTGTTAGAAATTTAGATGGTGTCCTCTGTTTCATTAGAACAGTAATGAATGTCCCTGTATATAAATCCTTGTCCCTATTTCAGATATTCCTTTAGGATGAATTCCTAGAGGCAGATCAAGGGGGTAGGAACATATTTATGGCTCTTGCTACCTCTTGCCAAAGCCTTCCCAGAAAAGTTGTCTGAGTACAATCATTCCAGCAGCTAGACAGCTACATGGTACTATCTGCCACTTTCTTAGGGTTGAGAGCAGAATTGCAAATGGTATTCCAGGTCTCAGTATACCAGAGTAAACCTTTGAACATGCTTCCTGGGTGTCCAGAAGGCTCTAGGCTCTTCTTCCAATACCCTCACCTATTCCATTATCCCTTCCCACGTACCCAGAGAAGAAACCAAATTATATTTATCCTTTAAAACTCAAAAGTTGGGGATCCCCGGGTGGCTTTAGCGCCTGCCTTTGGCCCAGGGCACGATCCTGGAGTCTCAGGATCGAGTCCTGCGTCAGGCTCCCAGCATGGAGCCTGCTTCTCCCTCCTCCTGTGTCTCTGCCTCTCTCTCTCTCTCTCTCTCTCTCTCTCTCTCTATGTCTATCATAAATAAAAAAATAAATCTTTTAAAAAAAAAATAAATAAAACTCAAAAGTACCCTCCTCCTGACTGCATAACTGCCTCTATGCTTCCTACTGGCCTGAGTTTGTCACATTGTCACATGGCATTGTCACTGTTTCTTTTTTGCCAATCTCATATTTCAAATGTATTGAAGTCGGAGTCTGTGTCTCACTCATCTTTGCTTATTTCACTCAGCAGTTTTCCCAGGACCTAACAGAATCGACCTTGAAAACATTTTATTAGTGAAAGAACAACTACTGCCCTTCCAGAACCTGATCTTGAGTATAAAGCTTAATCACTTGTCCACAGGAACACCCCACACGACACACCTAAAATCTGGTCCTCTGAATGAAGATCACATAACATTATCCTGGCCCAAGATGTCAGAAATCATCTGTAATAACTTTTAGTGTGATCTTGGGTAAAATGTTAAACAAAATACAGAAAATTGTTTTTCACAGGTGCCTTACTCTGTCTTGTTCCTTTAACATGCCTTTCTCTCCTCCCTCCCAGGACTACCTTGTCCATCCCATCAAGTCCCCCAGGAGCACCCACTGGGTCTGATCTTTGCTCTTGTACAAGTTACCTATTAATGCATAACACATCTCCTCAAAGCTTAGTGGCTTAGAACATGAATCAGTTATTATTTCTCATGATTTCTGTGGGTTAAGAATCCTGGAGTGGCTTGACTGAGCAGTCCTTCTCTGTGTCCCTTATAAGGTGAGCCAGCTGGTGTTGGCTGGTCCCACTGTCATCTGAAGACTTGACGAGCTGCAGGACCCGCGTCCAGGGGGGCTCTCTCACATGGCTGGCAGGTAGAAGAGTTTCTGTGCCTTTTAATGTGAACTTCTTCGTAGGGCTACCTGAGCATCCTCACAACATGGTGGTCAGATTCCTCTAAAAGCAAACAATACAAGACTCCAAAACTGAATGAATTGCAATGCTTTTTATGACCTGGCCTTGAAAGTCACACTTTGTTAGTTCCACAGCTTTCTATTGACCACATTAGTCAGCCTGACTTAGTGTGGGAGAAGATTATACCTTATACCAGAAGGCAAGGATCACTGGGGTCGGGACACCTGGATGGCTCAGTGGTTGAGTGTCTGCTTTCAGCTCAGGTCCTCATTCCAGGATCTGGGATCGAGTCCCGCATTGGGCTCCTTGCAGGGAGCCTGCTTCTCCCTCTGCCTATATCTCTGCCTCTCTCTCTCTCATGAATAAATAAAATCTTCAAAAAAAAAAAAAAAAGAAATAAAAAAAGATCACTGGGGTCCATAGTTAAAGCTGCCTGTCACACCTCACATAAAATTTACCTGGTCTCTAGTACATTCATTCATTGCCCATATATCCCAGGCAGTGTACCTAACAGAGGGGAAGGAGATAAGAGATAATTCTTGAGAATAGGCTACCCTTCCAAGGATGATGGTGGTAATAGATTTAAATAATCTTTTTTTAGAAAGTATTTTATTTTTAAGCAATCTCTACACCCAATGTAGGGCCTAAATCCACAACCCTGAGACCAAGAGTCACATGCTCCACCAACTGAGCCAGCCAGGCACCCCTCAAATAAATTAACAAATACATAATTCTAAAAATGTTCAATTTTCCAAAAGTCTTGTAGGTAAAGATCTAGTAAATAACATCTCAAGTCCCAGGGCAAGTCTAGGGAAAATTTTTAATAGGATTACAAAATTGACCATATTTACTCATCCTTTCCATAGGGACAAATTTTGGCCCATGCTTTCCATCTATTTTGATGCCACTGTATTTATCACTATATGATTGTAGCTCATCTCACCTGACCAAGCTTTTTTCCCTGTCTGCTTCAAAAGTAGAATACCATCAGAGATAAAGAGAAACATTTAAGGAAGATCAAACAGTTATAAATATGAAACAGCTTCAAAATACATGAACTGGGGTGCCTGGGTGGCTCAGTTGATGGAGTGCAACTCTTGATCTCAGGGTTGTGAGTTCAAGCCCCACATCGAGTATAGATTACTTAAAAAACAAACAGCAGGGCAGCCTGGGTGGCTCGGGCAGCCTGGGTGGCTCAACGGTTTAGCGCCGCCTTCTGCCCAGGGTGTGATCCTGGAGACCCGGGATCGAGTCCCACGTTGGGCTCCCTGCATGGGGCCTGCTTCTCCCTCTGCCTGCATCTCTGCCTCTCTCTCTCTCTCTCTCTGTGCCTCATGAGTAAATAAATAAAATCTTAAAAATAAATAAAAAATAAATAAATTTAAAAGAATAAAATAAATAAAATAAAATAAAATAAAATAAAAAACTGAAGTATACATAGAACATGCACCAAGATGGACCACATGCTTGGTGTAAAACAATACTCAATAAATTTTGAAAGATCAAAATCTGAGGTGCCTGGGTGCCTCAGTTGGTTAAGTGTCTGCCTTTAGCTGAGGTCATGATTCTACAGTCCTGGGATGGAGCCCTCCATCGGGCTCCCTGCTCAGGCTCAGCCAGGAGCCTGCTTCTCTCTCTCTCTCTGTGCTATCTCTGTCTCTGTGTCAAATAGATAAATAAAATCTTTGGGAAAAACATCAAAATCTTACAGAATATGTTTTTTTGGAAAAAAAGACTTAAAGAATAACTAAGATATCTTTAAAACTCTAAATATTTGTAAATTAAACATTCTATGCCTAAATAGCCCATAAAACAAAGAGGAGGGGATCCCTGGGTGGCGCAGCGGTTTGGCGCTTGCCT